GGTCTTTCAGCATGACAATGATCCCAAACACACCGCCCGGGCAACGAAGGAGTGGCTTTGTAAGAAGCATTTCAAGGTCCTGGAGTGGCCTAGCCAGTCTCCAGATCTCAACCCCATAGAAAATCTTTGGAGGGAGTTGAAAGTCTGTGTTGCCCAGCGACAGCCCCAAAACATCACTGCTCTAGAGGAGATCTGCATGGAGGAATGGGCCAAAATACCAACAACAGTGTGTGAAAACCTTGTGAAGACTTACAGAAAACGTTTGACCTCTGTCATTGCCAACAAAGGGTATATAACAAAGTATTGAGATGAACTTTTGGTGTTGACCAAATACTTATTTTCCACCATAATTTGCAAATAAAGTCTTTAAAAATCAGACAATGTGATTTTCTGGATTTTTTTTTCTTCTCATTTTGTCTCTCATAGTTGAGGTATACCTTGGATGAAAATGACAGGCCTCTCATCTTTTTAAGTGGGAGAACTTGCACAATTGGTGGCTGACTAAATACTTTTTTGCCCCACTGTATATCATCTCATTTGGGTAGTTGACTTGGAATAAAACCCTGTATGATTACAAAATAAACACTAGAACCAATGTATTATTAAAATACAATAAATGTTTAAAATATGCTGAAGATCACATAAGTTCGTAGGAATTGCAGTTGGTTACATTGAACTACATCGCTCTGGTGTTTGTAATTTTTCCAGGTGAATAAGTGTGGATGGTATGTCATGCAGTGATCATCATGGTTTTTAACAGGTTACAACTTGAAGAATTGGCCAAGCCAGTCAGGCTGTCCCAGCAGTTAGAGAAAGCGGTCACCAGCAACTACAAACCTGTGGCCAACCATACCTACAATGTAAGACAGATTATTAAACTACTCAATTTGTTTTGGCATGTTCCATAAAAATGTGTAGCGTGCAATTTATTGGTGCAATATGAACTATCCACTACATCTTTAAAAGCACATTCTGCAAAGCATATTGTTTGGCAATGACCTTAGGGATGATCTGCCTATGTCAAGCTAAGCTCCCCTTCAACATGTTTTGTCTATAGAATATAGTAATTAATAGACTTTACACATAGGAACGCATTTTATTTCCTTAAGTAATTAAATGTGTCCTGTTTATAGTAGTCATGACATGCAAATGCAGTGATATGTTTTCTGACCTCTGTCTGTTTAACCTTTCGTTACAGCTTGAGTATGACCGGAAAAAGAAGGAAGAAGGCAAGAGGGCCAGACTGGACAAACAGCAGGTGTTGGACATGTTGTTTTCTGCTTTTGAAAAGCACCAGTTCTACAACATCAAAGACCTGGTGGATATCACCAAACAGCCTGTGGTAAGACTGGAGGGCAACACGGGGGCTTCTTTTTTAGCACGCTGTTTGAATGATTTTCAGTGCTTTTAAATCACGAAGAAGCACATCAGATGTGTTATTCCATGGGTTGTTTATCAGCCATGATCTGAATCAATATTTCTCCATAGCCGAGTACTCTTAATATGCTAATGTTGCTGTTTTACTACAGTCCACCATAGAGTTGGATAATAGAATGATACACTTGTTTAAAATGGTTGCTTACTGTTTTGAAATTGCTGATTATCGACTTGCTATCCCCTTTTTTTTTATAATGCTTTATTCACATTGAATTAGAGCATTGTATTAATCTTTTCTCATACTTGGTCTGTTTCCTCTCCCAGACTTACTTGAAGGAAATCTTGCGTGACATTGGCGTTTACAACGTGAAGGGAACACACAAGAATACCTGGGAGCTCAAACCAGAATACCGACATTATCAAGACGATGAAAAGACTGACGAATAGTTTCTGTCCCTCCCAAGGCCGATGCTCCATGTTTTTATTCCCCAGGCGAGGCCTTGGCTGGACCTTGGTGTTCTCTCCTAATTTTTTCTCCTATCAAGTCTCAGAACACACTGGATGCTGTGATCCTGCAAAGTTAATGTTTTACAGGAAGAGGTTGTATCTTGGTATTATGTAGGAGACTACAAGGGGCATTTGGATAATGTTTGAGCGTCTCTTCCTGATGTAGTTTGTCACAGCTCCAGCACACCCTTGAGGTAATGGATGTAATGAATTTACCTCTGGTTAGCAAGTATAAAATGTTACAAAACTATTTAGAGGTAACAGGTTTATAAGAAAAGGATGTGACTGATTCTTTTTTTAGACATTTGAGTTAAAATATTTGTAAAAGATTGCTGTTATTCTACATTTGTGCTTGACGTATTTGCCTGTTTTATCTGTAATTTTAAAGGTTTACATATGACAAATACAATAAATGTGTTTTAATAGAAAATTTTACTTTGTACAAGAAGTTCATCAATCATACCACCTTGCCCAAGAACACCCCTACAGCAACTAAATAGTGGAACAACCATAAAAACCCTTTCGTCAAATCGTCTGGAGGAAACTAAAATCTGACCTTTACTGCAACTTGTGGCTACACATGTAATCAAATGTTATAGATCATAACCAAGGTAGGGCGGCTTGATTATGGCAAAAATCCTAATCTCGATTATTTGGGTCATTAATTGATATCACGATTATTAAAAACGATTATCCATTTACTTGGAAAACATCCATTTATTGAAAAAGAAAATGTGAACAGTATGTTTTTAACAGTTGATTACTCTGAACTCAATTTATTTCGATTATGTTGTTTTCATGATTGTTGCAAGCCAAAATCGTAATTGCGATTAATTGAGCAGCCCTAAACCAAGGCAACATCATTTGTAGTGCATTAAAATGTACAGTATTCAAATTTGACAGTTATGATGGTTTCAGGTGTAATCAAAAGACCCCTATCATATACAAACATGTCTCTGAAGTGTTTGGCTCAAAATACCAAACAGATCATACATTGTCATAATCCCCACCGTTTCAAAAGTGCCGAGTCTGTCTTCTACTTTATATAGCACCTTTCAACACAAGGCAATTCAAAGCGCTTAACAAAAATGGCATAAAAGCAAAGAAAATATACAGTGCCGTTTAAGATGTGAATAGTTCAATTAAAAGCAGCGGCAAAAATAAACGTCTTCAGCCTGGATTTAGAATTAGAAGTTGCAGCGGACCGGCAGTTTTATGGTAGTTTGTTCCAGATATTTTGAGCATAAATAACTGAATGCTGCTTCTCCATGTTTAGTTCTGACTCTGGGGACAGAAAGCTGACCAGTG